CCAACAATCCTCTTCCCACCTTCCTGCCTATCCAAGGGCAAACACAGATCTGGCTGGATCACGTGGGAGTAAAGAGACCCCCAGCAGTACAACACAAGCTAACTCTTCAAGGCATAATCTCTTTCCAGAAGGATGGAGGGAGAACTAAGTTTGGCTGGAACTGGGACTGGCCTGTGCATCTCACTCAAGGTGTTTCGGCACAGCAGAGCAAGGCAGCGTGCACTTCTGCAATGCTCCTAAGGCTCCAGCTCAACAAGAAAAGCAGGCAGCTTTGGATGGACCCCCAAGCCACAGGCAATGTGTTCCATACCTTTCCAAATGAGAACTACTGATTAATAGCCTAACAACATGGACGTCTGAGTCTTCGAGGAAGACAAAAAATATCAAAGGGGCAGAGGCTGATGGCCAAAGAAACCAAAAAGGAGAGCATAACAGGCATTTTCAGAGTGGAGCATTACAGAGCCTTCTGGAAATGAGTCTGTACCTAATGAACACGCCACCAGAGACAGGAGAAACAACTCTCTCTCTTTGGAGCCAGGCCTAACTTTCACACTCTCTGTGTTTCGAAACATTTGAGACACAATACATGTCCCCACACTACTACCAAGACAGATCAAACAAAAACTTTTTTGCATCCTTCTGAATACAAAGTGTTCCTCTATTCTCACTTTCCAAGAGATAGTATACTGAATTCGAGGAACTAATGGAAAACTAAATCTAATAGGTTCAGAGAACAGTTGTTGTTCAGCCTAAGCAGTCTTAAAAGCATAAAACAAATATTCTAGCAATGAAGTAACAGTAATTCAGAAAGAGGCACTTATTCAGTGCTGATTAGTAGTGAAGTTTACTGAAATTTACAGCACTGAGTGACTTTCCTCTTGTTTATTCTTGTTATTATTAGGGGTATTGATTGTGCCCTGAACACAGTGTTCTCAGACCTGAACTGGACCGTGTTCAGGGATATTTTGGCATTAATTTGAGACTAGAGTTTGATGGAGTTTTCACTTCCAACATACACATAGATCATGGCAATGATAATTTCAGCCTTCTTTACACAGATTTTTTGTGTCCTGAAGTAGCGGATGGTCAGAAGCTTCTAAATTAGCTTTATCTTTCATTTGACCTGTTCTTTTAAAGTCTACTGTCTTCTAGATGGGAGCAAGGAACAACATTATGGAAGAAGAAAAAAACGGCAAGGAATAAAAGGTTTAGATCGTTAGATTCTATTGGGGTTAGCTTGAAATTCCTGACTACTGCAGTAGAGGCAGAATTATCAGTAAGTGCAAGGAAAATTAAAGCAGTGCTATATTCATTTTGAAAATTCTAACTTTTTGCACATGAATATAGATTGGGTTTTTTTCCAGAATTAAAAAGGAAAATTTTAAAACAGACATATCTAATTTATAGAGGAACCTACTGACTTCAATTCATGAGAGCTAAATCACTACTCTAATAAAAAAAACCCTGATGCCCTGAATGTTTTATGTGCACTAAAAGATTATTATAATTGATCCTCTTTCCAGAAAAATTAGATTTGAAATCCATGCTGAATTCTACTTTTGAAGTACCTGCTTCAGATGTGAGCCAGACAGGAGCTAACTAAAAAATTATCAGAGAAGTTCTGTAGCAGGTAGTTCAACAGCACTAAAGCATACTCTAACACAGTATTAAGTGTCTAACCAGTTATAACCAGCAGTTCAGTCATGCAGAAATGAGGCCAACCAGCTGTTCAGCCTTTCAAAGAAAACAAGAAGAAATTCCCCATTCTTAAAATCAAATATACAAAACTGAAATGAATTCTCCTAAAATTACAATGGACACTGAAAGCTGTACATAAGGTTTAGTATAAAAGGTCGTATCTTCAAGTTCTGCATATCAATCAGTGGGGAACAGTTACTAAGCCAATTATCTTCCTCCAAATATACAATCCAGAGCAGGCTTCTCTGTTTATGAGAGCAAGTAGCTCAAAGGATGTCTTGAAGGACTTAACAAACAAAGAAAATACAGGAACAAGAAAAGGCAGTATCAATAATCAAGAAGAGTGTATGTTAATTGTTTCCCTTTCTCATTTACAAAGAAGGTTAAATGGAAAAAAAAAAAGTGCAATTTTTGTTCCTATTAAATACAGTTAATTCTATTAAGGACTGGAGCAGATACTAAAGAGAGAATCTTTCTTAGAAGCTCATACCTGCAAATACTGAAGATACTGATAGGCAAGCAATCAAAACTTTATATACTATCCTACTTGAGCATCAGAAAGTTAACAGTACAGAAAGACATGAACACACTGGAGCGAGTCAAGCAAAGGGCCACAAAGTTCATGAAGGGACTGCAGTATCTCCTACACAAGAGGCGGCTGTGTTCAGCCGAGAGAAGAGAAGGCTCCAGGGGGATGTTATCAACGTGTATAAATACCTTATGGGAGGGATGAAGAAGAGGGAGACAGACTCTTCTCAGTGGTGTCCAGTGACAGGTCAAGAGGTAATGGGCACAGATTGAAACACAGGAAAACAATTTTTTACTGTGAGGTTTGTCAAACACTGGAGAAAGTTGCACAGTGAGGCTGTGGAGTCTCCATTCTTGGAGACATTAAAAACTCAACTGGAACCAGTCCTGGGCAACCTGCTCTAGCTGACACTCTTTGAGCAAGATGGTTGGACTAGATGATCTCTAGAGGTTCCTGATGAACTCATCCATTCTGCAATTTTGTGACACTAGTATTAAACAAAACAAGAAGGTAATTTTAAATACAGAACTCCTCAGAGAAAGCACTGCTTAAGAGTGACAAACAAAAGGCTGGTGACTTTTTTAAGGGCCTAATCAGCTTTTCATACAGTCTTCTAAAAACCTCACTGGCAGGTGGTGAAGACAAAGCACTACAGTCATGGAACCTTGTAAAAAGGTATCTGGATGTTTCATCCTGTCAGTAACAACTGATTAGCATAAACTACAGAAGTTCATTCTACAAATTGAGACATTATTCACCATAGTTAAACAGCAGCAGCCTAAGAAGCTTGAGTGCGCGTCTACCAGAGAAGCTTCAGAGAAGCTGTCCTGAGCTCTTTTGAGCCCTATTAGGATCCTACAGAGATCACCAAAGTAGAATGCCTAATGGCATGCTTTTCTTTTCAGCTATCAAGTTGGTCTTGGAAGAAAAGATAGAAAAATTCTTGCTAGCTTTGCTTTGTTCACATGGATCCATTCAAAACCACAACAGCATTCAGATCACATCATCACCCAGTCTCATTTAATCTGCCCCATACCTGGCTTCCCAGAAAATTCTGACAGGAATCAAATTATGAGGGAGAAGTTTACAGTTATTCCCAGGCAATGTTCTAATACCTTTCCCACTGACAAACTTAACAGATAATGCAATCATAGCATTTAATTTGCATACATGTACTCTGAAAAGAACAGCATTAAGGAATAACAATCCCCAAACTTGATTTGGGGTACTCTACTAACAGTCTTCTAAGAGCTCAGACAGAAGATGACAGGTTAGTTTGGCATAATCTCTCTTTGGTACTCTTATGATAACTCTCCATTTAATTCAATGTTTGCAATTATTCTTTCCTTTAATAATTGGAGTACTGGAGTACTACTGAAGCCAAAGTAAGGACAGTTGTGCTTGAAAATTCCCACTCTCCTGAAACATGTCGGAATAGGTTAGTCTAACAGGCTTGTTAAAATGCCTCACCAGTGGACCCACGATTTTAAATGACAATTCCCTCAATATGAGAGAACTGAAAGAGCAGTCCATCCACTCCAGTGCATTAGGTGCTTTGAACTTTGCTTCCAGTTTCATTGGAACAGTTTCTGTTGTTCTGATAATTATTTTCATTTAGTATTTTCTCCTGAATTTATCATCATCTGTAAATGGTAATCTGTACCAGGTTGTTCTTAGTTAGATCCAGACAGTGAGTAACACAAGCAGAATCCCAAATCCCTAAACATTTGATTTGTTAGTGCAGGGTCAAAGGAAACATATAAAAGGATACATAAGGATTGAACATATAATTCTGATGTGCTTTACTAGCATGGTTGGTAGACCCATGGCTGGGTCCAAGAAAACTAAAAAGAAACAAATACAAACATGATTTTTCTGCACAGGGACACTAACATTGGCTAAAAAAGATTCTGGTTGAACTAACAACCAGAACAAACCAATTGTTAGCAGAGCTAGAAAGCACTGGAAAGACTGCCCAACACTGCCTCTAAAGGATAAGAGGCCAACCATGCAAAGGAGAGACAGTATTTAAAGTAAAAGCTGATGCACTGAACCTTCAGTGACACGGGAGAAGGGTGGTGATGCACAATTTCTGTATGATGTCAGCGTTGAGCTCTATGATGACCTGAGAATCTCAAAGCTGTGAATGGCATTTTAAAACCTGAAAACAAAGTGGCTTTGCAATGAGGGTTACGAAGTTTCACAACAGGTTTCAACAAGTATGGGAGCCAAAGAGACTCGCTTGTGTGTTGCCTTTCTTTGATAACCATGGACTTACTTTCAGGCAGTATGCTGAATATTTCTGTTACATAGGTTTCAGATTGTAAAGAGCTACCCGAGAAGTCTGAATGAGAACACCATAAAAAAGGTTTCTCAGACTGAAGAGTCTGAAGTTGTGAGAACTGCCGACTACCTTATTTTCCAGATTACAACCAGAATGCTTGAGGTTTTCTGATGTAATGAAAAAAAAAAAAAAAAAAATCATAGGAAAGCACTTCTGAGCAAGCCAGTAAGTACTCTGAAGTAACCAGGGATTTCCCTGTATCATTTACACTGATGGCTTGACAATCAAGAGGGAGAATCCTGATCTAAGACTGCCTTTAAGTTTCTGTAGAGCTCCGTGCTTGTGACACTCCTTATGTAATACAGGACTCTTCTCAAAAATAGATGTGAAGAGGAAGCTATTTTCTTCTCCTAGAAAGAATAGCCTGAAGTCTCAGTTTCCCATTGTGCTTCAGAAACTAAATCCCAGGCAGTTTGAAGGCAATGCTCAACTCATCGTAATCAACAACCTAGGGAATTAAATTGCCTGTGGTGATGAGGACATCAAATTACCATCCTGTCATTCCTACACATCCAAAGGAAGGGATCTTGAGGAGTTAGCACATTTAATGAAACCTGCTTTGTCTAAAAAAAAGTTCCCGACTAACTATACTTAAGAGAAAGATTTGATTAAATACTATTCTGGTCTATCAACTACTAGATAGACTGTAGATATTAAAAAGACATACCACAGCAAGACACAGTAACACATGAGTGTTCCTGGACAGTTCTCCCCACACTACAGTACAAGAGAATTTCCATAAGGCTAAAGAGACTCCTGACAAGTTACAAATTCACTGCTAATTATGACTAAGTCTTCTGGAATTTTGTAGCTACAAACAGCAATTAAGAAAACACTTAGATTCTCTTTAAATTAAATAAAAATTGTAGAACTGATTTCCATTCAGATTTTCTTGCTTGCGATTTTCAGATTATCATCAACAACTGATGATACTGAGGCAATACTATCATTAAAACGGTGTAACTCACACAGGCTATATTCACCACTTTCTAATGATCTAAACGAAAGAGGCACTTAAGTTTATAGAAATAAAAATATTTTTATTTAAGAACACTCTATTTGTATTTTAATCTATTTTCAAAGTTATTTAAATTGCCTTGAGAATCACCTTTTAATCAAAGTAATGGACAGCTGATAACAGGCTTATTAATGCCTTAAGATGCAAAATATAAGCGAAAATAAGGAACCATGATTTCCAGACTGTCGAAGTGAAAAGTAATTTACTAATTTTACAAGTGAGTATTCTCTTTGCGCGTAACAGGAGCGGCAACGAAACCTTTGCAATTGCATATGTAAGCACAAAGGGTCTGTTTTCCAGTGCTTTAATCTTCTCTGAAAATAAAAAAAAATTCTGGAAGCAGTTGCAGTGCATACATAGTTAGCAAAAAGCTAGCAAAAAGGTTGGTATGTGAAGAGAACCCTACTAATACATATACACAATTTTGGTCTGAACACACATTAATAAAAAGCATGATAAAAAAGCAACCTTGAGACTCCTCAAAATGTAAAAGCATTGTGACATTCACTACTAAATTAATGAAGACATATGAAAAGGCACAAAAGCTGGTTATCTGTATATTAACACACAATAAATTAAGTAACAGGAGAATTAAATTTATGATAAAATAGGGTCTTTATCTCATGGAAACTAATGTTTCTCTGAGTGTAATTCAGCCTATTAGTTTTGTATTTTTTGTGAAGTAAAACTAATTTCAGTCATGGGGAGATAAGACATCATTCTATCAATTCAGTAGTCCACTCATAAAGGGAAAAAATACAAGGTGCTTCAAAGGACTGTTTAAAACTCTCAGTTACAAGAACTACACATCAGTACAGTAAGACTCCTTCTCACCTGTAGAGTTACCTTGTTGTTAATTCCTGAAACACAGAGATTAATAAATAATTGTGGATGCCTTTGTTACTCATATATCTAATCCGCTTCTGAGTCTCTTCAAGCTTTTGACCTCAATTATATCCTGAGGAAAGATCTTCATGGGCATATACGCAATGTAAAATTTTCAATGTTTCAGATTTAATTTATAAAATGTGTTTATGAGAAAAAGGAATAGTATGATCTCTTTACATTACATGGTATACTCGGTATGCCATTCATTATTCGTAATAAAGTGCCACTGAAGGTGGCAGTGCAATCACTGCTTTCATTCAACATCTTTAATACTAAATTAGACTCCTTTATAAAACAATGGCAGCATCTAGAGCCAGTTGCATCCAGGCTGGCGGCTGAGGGAAGGGGAACTAAGACGGCAAAGAGGATTACACAACCTTCCTATAGTGGTGATGCAAAGAACACACACTACAAACTGGGGGATCACAATTCCTTTATCACTCCTTCTTCTCCTTCTGAATTCTACTCGTCTCCAAACTGAAAACAGCACATCACCCAAAACAAAAGTACAAAGACTTTTTAGTTATGTGAGTAGAAAAATTATGCTGGATCTTGTTTGAGTACAGATGTAAGACCCAGCAGGATAAATAAAACAGAGCTAAATGCAACAGAGATGAATACAGAGCTGTATTACAGTTTCAAGCCAGGAGAATTCTTTCCTTAAGCACTACTTTGTTTGCACATTCTTTGTAAGTAAAGAGCAGCCATATATTTTTGCTAAGGTCCATCGCTGATTTCTCTTCTTAAAAGGAAAAAATACACAGGTATTTTCTTTCAGCTTATGTATTAGGAAATAAAACGTTCTGAGGAATTTGTATACAGCTAGCATATGCCCATAGCAAGCCATAAGCTTTTTTTTTTTTTTTTGGTAAATTCATACTGTCCCTGTCCATTGTACGTTTTATGAACTCAAGCTTTAACTGACCCTTGAAGAAGCATTAGTAGCAGAGGACCTACTATTCTGACGACACTGCATTCAAATGGAAATACCCCATGACAACAAACTACGTGGACAAACATACTACGTGGACTTTAGTAGTATGGACTGTGGGTGGTAGCAACTAAGGAATCACCTGATAAACGAATGAAACCACTGAAAGGAGCCACTGGGATACATGGAAAAGATGATGAAGAGGAACAACTGTTCTTTGAGAAAGTCATTCCTCAGTCATTGCAGAAAGACAGGAAATTGGGACCAGATGCAAACCATGCAGAATGAGAAAACTACTTTGAGACCACAGAACAACACTGACCAAACTCAGAAAATCCCACTGAATGGTCAGTGCACTACAAGGCTTTGCACAAAGAATATCTTTAAATCTACGTATTTTTTGCATTTTTCTTGTAGGTTAACTACAAATAATTTAGAAATACACTTGCAAAACTCTGCTGTTTGTTTTCCACTTTCGAACTTCTTTTTTTTTAACTGGAAAAAACAGTAATGTGAGGGCTTTTTTGAACTCTGGGGTTGTGCAATAACTAGGAATAAAGAAAGGCATCTCTTCCTGGTTTTAGGGCTTAGTCAACTCATCACATCTCACTCAGAGATGCTGGATGAAGATCACATCCCTAGGAAACAGAAAGGGATGTGTAGCCTAACTATTTTCTTTGACTCTGCTTTGATTTTAGAAAGGTAAGATTTAATGGGCAGGTCCACCAACAGCAACATGATACGAACACAGCAGGGAGAATTTAACAAGACCTGTATTAGGTACTGAACAGTGGAAGTTCACTGAAATGCAATTCAAAGCGATCACCAGGAGAGGAAAAGATACCAGGAAAGTGATTCTGGCTTAGGTACAGTTGTTTGGTATAACAAATGTATATTCTGCTTTTAACGGCAGCAATGCTCATGGGATAAAACTATTTTTATAAAAGACAAAATTTTGTTTTTACTTAGCTGACCATCTTGGAATATACTTCATAACTTCAAGAAAGGAATGAAAGCACGTGAGTAATTAACTATTGATCTGATGATGCATTAATACAAACTATCTAGCTCAATCAGCTAGCTGACTTTGCTATACTGCACTTGGGAAAATTTCCTCTTTTTTTGCTTGTCATGGATTTAAAAAATATGTAAACTGCTCTGTTGCTCTATAAACAAATGCTGCTAACAACAGTATTTTAGCTGTATTTTCACAAAAATAAAACTATTAGAAGAATTAAAACATAGACAGGAAGTTTTTAATATAGTTCCATAGCTAGATATAGAAACTACAAAATATAGAAATATAGAAACTACAAAACTTCAGTTTTAGGAAAAGCTGAAGTATAAAACAGCTATTCATCTAATAATCTTACTATACAAATGGGAAATGAAAGCGTGTCTTTTGTAACATGAAAGCTGTGTGACTTTGAAACAAACCTTGTCCATTAGTTTACTTGCATGAAGACTCAGGCTATTAAAGAATATCTTCTTGCTCAGCAAATGCATTTCTTCAATTGTTGTCAACAATGTGGCTGCACTGTTTCCTACAATACCACTGAAAACAAAATTAAGATTAATTAAATAATCTGAAGGGGGGGAATGTGACAGGGTCAGATACTTTAGACAGCATTTCAAATACAATTTTTTCTATGTTGAAAATTTACAACAAATAATTGTGGCAAAGAGTTCTCCACATGAACTGAGACATTCACTCGTAAGATGATTGTGAGAACAAGCATTATCAACTATGTCATTAGGCAGATATTAAGTACAGGCTATCTAAAGGTTTGCACAAACTTTTTAATAGAATTCTAAAATTTACTAGATTTTTATTTTGTTATTCTGTAAATCTACTTCTGTTATAGAAAACAGGTTACATAAACAAAAAGGGTTAATAACTTTATTCTGTCAAACTGTCCTTTAGGGATAGTATCATCTCTCTTGTTTCTTCATTGTCTCCAAAAATACAAGAATTCATGCCTTGCTATTTCAAGTGTCAAGTTATTATAGTTAGCATGAATACTGCATAAACTTTAAATGACCCTACATGACTATGCACTTCTCATGGATATACCTTCTGTCTAAAGTAAAAGTGCTTCTAAGCCACAAAAATAGCAGTAAAAATTCATCACATCTTAACAGGACTAATTTAAACTTGTAGCTTGATTTTCAGATTATAATCTTGTTGCATTTAATAGATCATTTCTCAAATTGGATTTTCCTTTCCTTAGTCAGGTGCACTTCCTCTATACAGAGGAACTTACTCAGCTGACAGAAGTACCTTCAATCGTCTTTAAACAATGTATCGTTAGCAAGACAGAAAGCAACAGATAAGACTGCCTAAGACCTTCCATTTTAACATCACATTTTCAATTGCACAAAGCTTTATAACCACTGGGAAACACAAACTTTGGAGACAGAAAAATGACAGCAAAAATCTTTCAGCTGTTTTTGACAGTGAGATTAGGAATAAAGTATGTTTTGTTCCATATTATAAAAGAAAAAAAAAAAGGTCTTATATGTGTTCTACAATAGACCTATAATGCCATCACAATTGAGGAGTTTAAATACAGTGGAAGATGCCCAAGAACCACTTATCCCAGTCTGCCCAACATCTAAATGTCTTTTCAGACAGAAAAGAAGCTCAAATATTAATATTAGTGATTCTAATTCTCAGCAGTTCAGTCCAAGGCTGTGGAGGAAAATTTTCCTGCTATTGCTGTTTCTAACCAATAGGAACTACTGTAAATGCCACAATGTATAAAACCAGAGATTCTGGCTTTTCTCTGGTTTCTGTGTTCGTAGTGGCATCTGGCCGGTTGGAAGATGATTGGTGCACCTTCAACAGCGAGATACAGAATGACACAAGTATCTTCCCAATAGAACAATGCAAGCGCATAATTAGAATAAACAGAATCAAAACACAGTTGTTTAAGGAAGAAAAGAAAAATTGAAGTTCTAGTGATAATTTAATTCTAGCATTTTCTCAAAGGGGACTTGACTTTGTCATCTTAAATGATTTGTGTATTTTTTTGCATACTACTTGTATCTACACAGAACAATAAAGAAACAGTTTCTGTGGCAAATTGATGCTATATTCCAAAGCAGATTCCATATGATTTGAGGAATGACAACAGATAAATGGCATCTCCCAGATATCATGCATGTCTCTCCTTGATTCCATAGTACAGAGCAAAAACTAAGCCATGAAAATACTTTTTACTGTATTAATCTTTATATAGACGATAAAAAAAAAGAGAGACATCTTTAGCATACTTTGTAATTTTGCATACCTGATTGTATGGTGGTAGAACTTGAGAAGATTAGAAATCTTGTACAGTAAAACTGCTCCTGGCTCAGCAACAATCACCTGCTCAATTCTAACCTGCAGAATAAAGAAATACAAGCATCCTTCAGGTCATACATTCCAAAAGCCAGCCTCTACAATTTTATATGCAATATATGTCTGATTTTTGAAAAAGAAGTTTAACCAGAAATAAATTTAACATGAGAATGTCCGGTTAACCATAACATTCTGCTTGAACAGAAGGACATGGTATAGTGGTGGACTTGGTAGTGATAGGTTAACGGTCGGACTCGATGATCTTAAGGGTCTTTTCCAACCTTAACGATTCTATGATTCTAACTGAAGTGCTTCTTGGCTGCCAAGGCTCTGGGTAGAAAACAAGCAAGTATATGTATTCTTTAAAAAAACAAAACAAAACAACCGAAAAAAACATTTCCCTATAGATTTTTGTTGCAACTTGTTATTGAAAATTTCAAAATAATTAGATCATTTGATGGATTAATACCAGTACAAACTGGAATTCTCTCCAGCACTGAATAGCAAGAACAGCTGCAAAGCTGCAAAATCCGTGAACTACAACCGTTTATCACTAGCATTATGCAGCAATTCAGAACATCCAAAGTATTAGGTATTTTACCCAAAAGACAAAATTGCACCTGGATTAATCTCTCCTTCACATAAAGGAGAGATTATATACCAGCTATCAGTAGGTAATTAGATACATTTGTAACTAATGACCAGCTATGTTGACTGTTTATCTCAACTGGCTACACGGACCAAACAGCACTGACTTTCTTTACACTTGGACAGTTGATGTCTCGTCTCCATGGTACACAGAGTCTCAATCCACTCATAAAAGGTTGCCCCAGGGTCAATCTTTGGGCACTCATGAAGCACTGATAGACAGTGACTTATTACTGCACTGTTCTCCCACATGCCTGTGTGTGAAAGGGCTACACACAAATCACCAGCCACCACTCGCTCTCCCAAGTTATCCGTCCGCTGTTCAGCGGAGCACGATGTGCAGCAGTGCCTTCTTGTCAGAGCCAGCTGCAAGGAGAATTAACTAAGATTACGCTTTCTCAATCCTCTCCCTTTGCATCTAAGTCAGAGACCAAAAACACAAAATAATTGTTGACTCTTATTTGCAAAAATCAATGCATGATGTTAATTTCAAGAGTCAGGTGAACTTCACTCTTCAATGCATATGTATATACAGAGGTACAGATACAAATACCTATCTCCAGTGTTGCATAAAAGGTCGTTTGGGCACAGATACTGAGTATAGTCTAGGTGTACAGCAAAAAAGAATAAGAAAGGCAAGGGAAAAAGAGAAAAATCAAAATATTGACAAAAAATAGCAATAACTAAAAATAAAGAAAATAATTAAGAAATAGAAAAAGACAGAATAAACAGAAAGAGAAGAAAAAAAAAAACCCAGAAGATTTTAGGGTTAGGAAACAAAAATGAGAATTAAAAAAACAAAGCAGGAAAAGAAGCATTGCTGCTTCCCATACAGAAGTCTTCACTGCACAGGAGAACCAAAATTTGCAAGTGCCTAAACCTAACCTGCTCAGGGAAGTCCTGGACTTAGAGGTTTTACTGTTTCCTAATCCTATACATCCTGTTGTCAGTCGACCATAAAAGACTATCTGAAGTCTATGTAATGCATCAAAAACATTTTGTTAGATTTGACCTCATCTTAAGTGCTATGGAAAAGATAAGAACCTTAATTTAAATGTTTTTTAGGGTCCTCCTGCTTCCATCTGAAATGACAGGCCTGTGGTAAGATCTACCGCTAGCGAGCACTCAAGATTCACTTGCATCCCTAAAACTCAAACCAAGTATCAATAAGAAATGTGGACAATTTATACTGCATATAAGCATAATCCTTCTTCAAAAGCAAGGAAACCGTATCGTATTGCACAATCACATGGCAAGGCATAAACCAGTAAGAAAATTCTACATAATTCTGTAAGTATTTAAAAGTGCTTGTGGAAATTCTGACTTAGGCTTTTTTATACTTCAGCATCAACTCAAATCAAATTGACAGGTGTGCAACCATCAGCAGAAATCCACTAGAAAAGCAGTATACTGTGGTGCCATATGACTACAACAAAGCGTGTTTTCCCTGAACTTAATGCAGTTATTTTTCTTGTTGTGGACAATATTCAGAAAGAACAACGTATTGTAGAAAAGACCCCTCCAAACTGAGTCTTTTTTTGTTGTTCCTCTCAACATGAAAGCTTGCAATTATCGAACTGCATTGCATGAAGGCTTTCCTGCTCGGGGGTTTTTGTTTTTTTTTCTGCTTTTTTTTCACTATGGAACACTTCCCCAGGGGAAACAATAAGAACTGCATATTTTACATTGGGAAGTCTAGACCGGCAGTGAATCAACATAAGTTGCATTTTATTAAAACACAGAATATCTTTAATTGTTCTTTCAGGTTTGGTTTTTGGTTTTTTTTTTTTTTCATTTTTATTAGCAAAGTAACTAACTATCGACAATATTTCGGGAGATATTTCTACAGATAACAGAAGTGCATAAGTGTAAAGAGTTTGGCAAACAAAATGGAAGGTATTCTGTATGAAACTGTACAAATCATAAGTACTCAAATCAAGACCAAAACTCCCTCTGACTTACACAAAGGTTTGATTCTATCCCTAATTACTTTGTTGGAATGCATGGAAATACTGAACTCAAACATCGGCATTCAGTATTAACAGAAATAAAGCATGCAAGAAGAACACAGAAAGCTTGGAAAGTATCTTTCAAAATAAGCCGTGATAATAGTTTGTTTGCAGGTCAAAAACTAAAGGCTGTGAAGGATGATCATAATTATATGGCAACGAGCACAAACTGAAACACAGAAGGTTCTGTCTAAACACCAAGGAGCACTGTTCTACTGTAAGGGTGACCGAGCACTGGCACAAGTTGCCCAGAGAGGCTGGGGAGGCTCCATCCTTGTAGACAGATATTCAAAAGCCACCTGGATACAGTCCTGGGCAACCGGCTCTAGGTGGCCCTGCTGGAGCAGCAGGTTTAGACTAGATGACCTCAGAGGTCTCCACCAACCTCACCCATTCTGTGTGATTCTGTGATATTCTACAAGGCATTTTCTTGATTTTTATCCCTCTTCAGACCTTCTCTCTTTCTTAACAGGAACTTATGCATAATATTCAGAACCTACCTGTTAACTATTTGAGACTAAATATTTGGCAACTGGACACAGTTGTTACAGCTACAGCATCCTAAGAGAAATTTATTATAACAGTATTTAGTACACTAGATTTTACTTTAAATACACTTGCATTTATACACTAGTATGGAACTAGCATAGTCAGGCAATTACTGGTATCAGCTTCATCACCTTGATTATTTTATTTTGTGCTTATGTGAAGAACATCCAATAAATAAGGCAGTCATTCATTTGATGGATCACTATTAATGATTTCTATCAAATGGGTCCCCTAAACTGACTAAGACTCTACTTTGAAAAAAGACAACTGTGGAGGGATGTGAAAGAAATATAGCAAATCAGGGTAGCATAAAGATGAAAAGTAGGAAACAATTTTTCATGGTCCCTTTCCATACAAGAGCTGGAATTATTAAACAAAACCAAACCAAAAGGAGTCGGCTTTTCACACAGCATACAGTTAAACTGTGCACTTCCCTCCTGCAGGATATGTTGCAAACACCAACATTTTCTACCAACTTGACATATTAAAGGAACAAAAATCTGCCGAGGTCTAACACAAAGACAGTAGCTATTAAGTCCTTAGTACATCCACAAACAAGCGAGGAAATGATTCTGCAGAAGTATCATGACACAACTGCACAATCTGTACATTCTTCCCTAAGCATATGCTAATGGTAAGCATGAAAAACAGGGTAGTAAATTAAACTGATTTTTCATTTGACCCACTACAGCCATTCCTATATTCTTACCCCAAAGGTAAATTTCTGTACGTAAGCACTCCTTAACTTTAGGAAAAGTAAAATAAACCCAAGATACAGATTAAGTATCCTGGTATCTCTCACTATATGACTATTTAAATCAGATATCTATAAACGATGGAATTTTTAATTTTGAAGGGGTTTAGGATTCTCAAAGTTGAGAATCCAACTCTTAACCAAGGGCAATGAAAATAACATTCTAGAGATAGGGACAGAGGTTCTGGAAAAACATGACAGAACAATTTTTGTATTTAGAATGCTAAGGAAAACAAAATACTTCACCTTCAGAGGCCTGCAGACACCTTCTGTGATGTGCCCAACTACTTCTTGAATATTTTCTTCCACACCTACAGTTAATGCAAACACATGTTAAGATTATGCAAATATAATTCTCTTTTCTTCAAGACTATAAAACAAACAAACAAATGTAGGAGCTACTCCTCCATAAAAAGTATTATGAACTGCATGTTCTCTTCTCTACAAGACTAGTTTACACCTCCACTGAACTTCAAATCCAGCCATTAAGAAATAGCTGCATGACAAAACAGAGTCCTGGAGAGTCATTACCTTATGCTATGCAATTGCTTCCTACCACATTATAGTGCCTGGGGATTTGAGGGAGAAGGAGCAAGGGGAAGAATAAATGGTCTAGCAAGAAACTGTCACAGTAAGGCTCAATATCAGCACTTCATGAAACTAAACAGAAAAAAAAACGGCCAGTGAGATACTCAAAGAGCAACAATACGTACCATTTTGAAAGGCCTGAACTGTAAATACACGTGTCTGTCAGTGTTCAGTACTGACGTGCTCATGGCATTGTTACAAATTAAATCACATATGTACCTCCACACTGCCGTGTGCTGCAGCATTAGCAAATGCTTCCTCCCCAGCAGCAATTGAAACTCATCTTTCATGGAGCTATATACAAAGGAGAATATTGCCCTAGCTTATCATGGAACACAAATGAATTGTTGCATGGCAACCGGTACTGTCATAAATCAATCAAACTGAAAGCAACAGATCTTCAAGCTCTCACTTCAGTAACAACTCAGAATAGATTTATGGAGACAGCAATACTTTAATTCTAATTTAAAACTTGTCAACAGGAGTTCATCTTCAGATGGGACCCATGCAATGAACAGTAAACAAACTGCCTGTGACATGTGATAGAAATCAGGTGACCTGAAGCTATATTTTGCAGATCTTATATCAGACTAAAAGATATTACCTCTGAGAGGAAAAATTATAAAAGATCAGAGATCTGTGCCAATGCCTCTTTACACCAAGATACATGAAAAGCCACATAAGCAGAAACAGCTAAATTCAGCGTGGTGGCTGTAAGAATTTTAGCATACTAAATTGGTAAGGTAATAAAAACATATTTATATATTTGAGTATTGATATCAAGGAAGAAAGCAAGATTACAAACCACAAGATGTATGGTCTGTTATGTAATGGCTAGCTCCCAGATACACTCTAACAATTTACACATTTTTTAGTAGGAGCAGTCACACTTTTACTGTTCGTCAACATAACAAGCACCTAGCACATATTTGCAATAGTGTATCTAGACCAGATTGACTTAACAACAAGTTCTTGGGTATGAAACTTTTAGCTGCAAAAATATACAAGTTCAAATACCAAAGGACATGGAATTACAATCTTGACATATCGCATGCTTATGCCTTCACATATATTTTCATGTCCAATTAGAATATTTTAGATTCAGCAAACAGTAAAAAGAAATCTTCCAGCACAATGGGTTATATAACTGTTGCAAGTATTAGTACATCACACTGACATAAAAGAATCATGGAATAAACAATTCTTAGAGAACCAAAATCACTTTTAGAAAACAGTGCATTACTGAAGATACACTTCTGGCTCCCTGCTACACCACATATCTCTGTGTATCCTTCTGTAAGGGAGAGATCTTTCTTGGACTTAGTTTGGCTTCTGCTCTCCAGCTGGGTTCCTGTAACTACATGAAAAATGGGTGTCTACTGTTTCTCTGAAACAAAATGCCTGCAATTCTCCCTTCCTTTCAAGTGCAAGATCTCTGTAAGACTGGAAGGCTCCTGTTAGCAGAATACCTAAGCTCCAAAGAAGAGAACCAGGTGCTTTATGCTTGGCCAGTACAATGCAAAATAGTTCAACTTTTCTCAATGTGTTTTCAGTGCTTAAAATGTTAATAGCATTTTTGGTCAGATTAATTTTAAACAGCTAACATTTGCAAGCTGAAAATTTTAACACTTTTTAAAAGCTATTCTTGAATACTTGATTATGGGCTACATAGTTTGTTCTCTTTAAAGGGTTTTTTTTTGCTTGATTTTTTTTGTTGTTTTTAAGAAGAGAAGGGAAGTTTTCATGTAGCTGCAATTTACCATGTTCTCCATAGTCCTCAAAGTACACAAAGCTTATAGGAGAATTTAAACAGAAATCTGAAATCAGAAGAGAGATGCCTGAATTAAAATAATAAAACCAGTTCCATGTGCAAAAAGCTACTCAAGTTGAAATTGAAGTTAAAACATTTGACTGACCTATTATAG